GCATCCATACAATTTCACAAGGCTACAGTGCTGCACAACTGATATGGTGGCAATCTCCGCAACAAATTGACTCTTTCCTTGATGGGATGCAATAGACAACTGTTTAACAGCAACAACTCTTCCATCCTCAAGAGTTACTTGTTGGTCACAACAAAAAAGTTCAGGTGTATTAAACTTAGAAGTTACAAGAACAAAACCAAATAGGAATTGATACGATCTGAAACAGTTGTGCACACATTCCTTCTGATACAATATCAGGTTGGGGATATACAAATATACAAAAGGTAAAGGAGAAAAAATGAAGGTATTGTGGGCTAAACATCAAATTATAGCAATAATGTGAACTACTGAAACTTACAAGGACTTGTTACCACCTTTATTTTGTCTTAATTATTCACACATTTCATGTGTTAGTTTATAAATAAAGCCTAATTTTTAATTGTTCCACCATTTCTATAATCTTTGATTCAAAAAATTTTCAGAATAGGGTTTACCTGTACACAGGTCCAAATCCTCCCTCTCCAAGCTTATTAGCTGGATTGAAGTCATCTGTTGCAGCTCTGAGCTCCACATAACTAAAAGTGTATGGTCTGCCATCCATCCCCAAGAAATCTATAAATTCATAGAGAAATATCTGTTCACTTCCAAAGGGTAGTGATTATTCATCCAACCCCTACCTCATTCATTCCTTACCTCATATAATATTGTTTCATACGAGGATAGGCATTATAAGTTTGGTATTAATTAAATATGCAGTATCCTATCTCTCATTGTGGAACATTTAGGAAGCAATTTATCACATAAAGTTATACAAAAAGCATAGAAGCAACAACTCCTCCTGAACTGGAAAGGATACTTAAGCCACAATACTTTTCCTTTCTTATCTTCATCCTCATAGCTCTTCTTCTTGTTTCTTCTCTAAGCCAAATAATATGTTGCAAATACAGAAAGAAAACTTACAGCTCCAACTACAACTACAATCCCCACAATCAGACCAGTCCTATTCTTCTTCCTACTTGGAGGACTGTTTCTAATAGTGGGAATGAAATCTGTGGAAAAGCTTATTGATCAATATTGGCATCTAGATAATAGAAATCAGAGTTGATAATTTTTGTGAGCTGTTAAATATCTTGAATTTATATTTACCTAGGCTGGTACTAATTGCCAAAATTGAAGGCCATATGTACCTTGAGTAGGAAAACAACAAGTCCCTTTTCCAGCCCAGAAGAAATGGATTTCAAGGTAGTTTTCAGACACTTGAACTTTCAATTCCTTCACAACATCTCTCAAAGGGGTCCCCTCAACCTCTTTTACTATGTTGAAGTCTTTGAACTCCAGCTTCCCCTGGACCCCACAAAGTCACAATTTGGTTCAATAATACATGAAGAAGAACCAAGATACATTAATTTTCGGAGTATACTTCAAAAGGAAAGTATACAAGATACTTGAAATTCTAAATTTAAATACGAAAAGTCATGGCAAGCATTGCTATTGAAATTTGAACTAGAGAAAAATTCGGAATAGAACATGTGGACATTGATTTTGAGGCATGAGTGTTCTTTGAACAAAAATAAAAGGTAACCATCACAAGTATTGCCTTGAAAAGTACATACTATATCGCCCATATCAAATATCAAACACCCCATCAAGTACTACATGATGAAAGGTGAACTGGTGTTTTAGACAAAGATGAGGCTTGAAGGTGCATCATACATAACTATTCCATCATATACACCCACCTTGATCATATCAATTGATGATACTAAACCAATGTGTAGTTTAAGTACAATGAAAAATATAAATGCAATAGTTTTAATAAGAACTCTTTTTTTTCACAGACCTGGATATATATATATATATATATATATATAAAGATGGTGTGTATATAATCATTATTTATTGTATTTTAATCATTTATAATTTTCTATAGCATCGTTTAAGAAGATCCAGCAGAAATTTGTGCAGTTTGAAACAACTCTAAGTCCAAAGTAGCAGTGAATTGGGATGAAGAGAAGCTTTTATATTGTGGGTTGATGCTATTAGAAGGCAAACCAACATTACTAACTCCCTATCTGTTTGTACTGGTCGTGTAATGTGTTGCCGGACCAAGAGTCTCATTATCCATCTCATATACAATCTGATCTGAAGACCTGATTTGTCTATCGCCACATTTGATTGCAAAGCTGGAATCTGCAAACCAACATCCAGATGAACTTGTCAATTATCAATGCAACTTCACAAAAGTGCTTGCACTAGGAAGTTGAGCGGAAACAATTTTGTGAACGATTTTGGCCTGTTTTGCATCATATTTTGTAGAAGTAATTTCTTTTAATAAAAAAATACTGGCAAGTGTTTCTTGTAAGAAAATCTGATGGAACTTTTGAAATTGGGATGAGCAACTATGATTTAGCTGGAACAGACTGAAAATCTTCACTGTAAAATAAGATTAAAACATTTCATTTTTATAAAATACATATATTGACTTTTGTTTCTGAGTGAGAGATAATTGGTGTCTCTTTGATTAAAAAAATTAAGACATGTACAGGTTACCCAATTTATTTTTTATATTTTTTAATATTTATTACGAAATAAAATGCTCTAGGACTATTCCCAATCAATTTATATCTCCAGAACATTATAGTGCAGTTTTAATATTTATAGAACATGTTAGCAAAATATTAATCTGAAACGTGAACACAAACAGACATCATCTTAAAACTGCCAACTATATCTTTTAATGTGCCTACAACTCTATGTGCATATAGAAATAAAGTCCAATCAGTTGTGCAACAAAATTACTAGACAAAGCATCATTCTGCCTAAAATTAATGACAATTTTAACCACATTTGGGCGACTAGTGAAGCTGTTAGTGATGATGGAAGGTGTGAGGTGAGCTGGTAAAGAATAGGTGGAAAGAAAGAAGGGTAAAGTGTCAAAATATTACAATAAGCTAATTCATATGTGTTGTACTATTTTAATCTATTAATTTTATGATTTGTCTTTCCAACATATAACACACGAAGTGATGTAGGAGATGCTAATGTCTGGTGCACTGCTAAGAAATGATATTTTGTTATGTAGCTTGGCTTATTCAGACCATCATACAAATCAAGTAACTTCTATAGCATATACGAGATGTTCTTAGCATATCAATAGCATGTGTTGGATGCTCGAAATACTAAGAAATCTAATACACTTGTGCCAATTATTCAAATGCTAGACCAAAAGAATGACATAATGACACATTAATTGAAATTAATACAAGTGGAAATTACACCAAATCATATTTTAAATATTCAACATTTTAAAATCATATTGGAAGTTTGATATTTCAAAAATCAGATGAAATTATTTTTTAAATATTATTAATATTATCATAAAATTAAATTAATTTACCAAACCTAATTGATTCATTCACTGTCTCACCTTTCTCTCTCTAACACCCACACTCTATAACGTTGTCGGTCTCTCTCTACCACCCACCCTCTCTATGTCGATGACGCCATGTGACCAGCAGCGGTCATCTTCTAGTGGCGCCGTGTGATCGATACTCACGATCGGCGTAACGCACGCCTTGCAGAACC